GAGCTTGGTAAAAAATTATTTTATTGTCTCCTAATACAACAGCATTGGCAATAATATTTGGTGAAAACCTTTATTTAGAATTAGCAATAGTCCACCAAGTGTTAAAAATAGTTAAAAAAGTTGAAACATCTTTTCGATTTGGATAGTAGCTTTTTGAAGCTGCAATTGTAGTTTCATGTATAATTGCTAACGAAAGTGGCACACTTTGTTTATTATTTCCAGGATGTAATGCCTCATATTTCAGCTTTAGAGCTTTTCTAAGTTTACCTTTCAAATCATTATCATTATGTTAAATCTTAAATGAATCATCCCAACTAATATATCCTGATGGACAATCAATATTGATATATGCATTATAGTATTTAAAGTCTGAAAAAACAAATTTTTTACCATTTAGTAAATTATTTCTAAGATTTTTGACAAAATGCACACTATCATAAAACAAATATGTCTTCTTTCCATGATTCTGTGGGTGAATAATAAAATTCTTTGATTCAGACTTGAACATTGTAACTAATGAGATGAGAATGCATTAATGTTAGTGGAATGATTGTATGTAACTATACCACGCAAAGTGAACCCAGTGCTTTATAGATTTTTAAGATTGTCAGCTATTTTTTGTAATAGCCAATTTCCAGAGAATGTGACTTCTGAAATTGCTTGAACAATAAAAGGAATAGGTTCTTTTATTTTATCCTATTATCATGAATGCGACAATTCGTTTGTACAAGTTACCTTTTTTATCAGCACCAACATACTCTTCTCTTTGATATTGTGCTGCTTTTTGTAAATACATTTCATCTATAATCATAATACAATCAGGAGAAATTTTTCCTTTTTCATGTAGAAGTTTTAAAGTTTTTATAGATTCGATACCTCCATGTTGAACTTTATTTAATAAAAATATTGATGGTAAAGAGTGATTTTTAAGTAATAGTTTGTATGCCTGTAAAGATGTTTATCGTTAAAGTAATGCATATCGAATCATCTCTGCTGAGTATGATGGCCTGCCTTGTAGCTGATGAAGCTCTCTGTCCTTAATTTCATCTAAAATAGTATCATGATTTTCTAAGGTGTAGTTTCTCATATAAGAAGAAAAATTTTCTAGCATACTAATTTTATTATGTTTTGCATTATGTCCTTTAACAAACCAACTTGGTAATGGAAGCGGTGTTCCTTTGTATTGCAACGTACATTTAGGTCTACATCAATTGTTATTGGTTCTAATATAGTTGGAAAATATATCTGTTCATTCAATACTATATATAAAATATAACACCTTTTTCAAATCGTTAAAATTGAAACCCTGGTGGTGCTACAGCTTCGTTCAAATTATGTACATTTGTAATTGTATCATTTTTCTTAAATATTTCTAACTGATCTTTTTAGAATATTCTCAATTTAGGAGGACTTTGAGAAGTTTTTATAAACGGTATAGATGATTTTTTTGCAAAAGTTCACAAGAGTACTTAGAAGGAACAGGTTTTAAAGGCAAATTCAGTGTGTTATCTAGACTTTGAATTTATAATGTTATGATTTTACATGTTGTAAAGAATTCTACTATGTAAAACGAACACAAAAATAAAAAAAAAAAGAAATTAAAAAAACTAAATAAAAAATAACGAATGGCAAAAAATAATTTGTTAAATTTTATTATCAACACAAATATCATTATTCGTTAAATGGATATTGCTGTTCGTAAAACGTATATACTATTTGTTAAACAAAAGTTACTATTTATTAAACAAATGTTACGATTCGTTTAGCAAATATTAGTATTTGTTTAATGAATTGCAATATTTGTTTAATAATTAGTATTATTCGTTGAACGAGTTCAACGAATAATACTAATTATTAAACAAATTCGAAATTATTAAACGAATTTAATTGTTAAACGAAATTCGTTGAACGAGTTATTCATTTGTTATTTGATTAACAAAGAGTACTATTCCTTTAACAAAGATTAATACTCGTTACACAAATACTAAACGTTTTATGAATAGTACAATTTGTCAAATAAATAAAGAGCTGACTTACTGTTATATCAAATTTTTTGGCTTTTTGATTTAATAGTTACAAAACTAGAAACTTATGGGAAGCCATTCTAAACGCAAATTAAAAATGTTACTGATACTGATGATGCAATTTTTAAAATTTTTAAATCGAAGTTCTTTTAACTTCAAACAGCCGCCCGGCGGCAAAGTAACTTTTTGTCGAAAGGCCAACTTTTTAAGGAGGCGGAAGCTATTGACGGCGGCCTCCCGATCAATTTTCAACGGCAAAATGCTCTTTCTTCCACCTCCAGTGGCTTCCGCTTTTCTATTGGCGGCCGCAGCCAATAGAAAACCGGAGTTCTTTTTTAGAGGCAAAATGTCTTGGAGGCCGACGCCAATAGAGTGGCGGAAGCCAATGGTGGCTGCCTTTAGAAGAAGTAAAATAAATATATAGTATGATTTTCTAAACGTTAAAACTCAGAATAGTTTTAGTCTACTTTAAAATA